TATCGTTGCATTCAAATCTAACCTACCCAAGTCAGTGGTCCACCCTACCACCTAATGTACAGCAGAGCGACATCCACTTACCCGCTTTTTTAATTTTAGGTATTGTTACTAAAATTGTATTGGTTTTAGAAAAAATTATTGTCTGAAAAAAGTTTTATTGAATAATAGATGAACGGAACCTAAAATTTTAAGTACCTATACTACTTGATTTTCGTTATATTTGCTACTCGTAATCGGATCAATTAAGCGTTGACACATWTATGTGATGTGCATCATAATGATCAGGTAGGTACTATAGGTTTRGATATTAGAACAATATCAATTACGTTTTCTTTGAATGTAATAGACAATTAGAAATTATTTATGGTTAATAGTATATATTTTGGAAATTAATATTATGTTATTTCTTATGAGTTACTGTGATAACTAGTAAGTTAARCAATGATTTAAAATGCTGGTGTTAAAATTGTATAGTATTTGTTTGAAAAATGTTGTATACATATAAGACGAAATCCCGATAAGATTTTCGAATGACGTCCCTAACTTGGAAAACGAAACGTAATTATTACGCTTATAACTGTATAGTGTATTGCCCTTGTAGTGTTTACTGTTTGTGCTGAATGTACTGTCCTTTTATATACTTGTACCTTTATTATCGAATGTACATCATTATACAACGCCTCATATAAGTTTCAAGAACTCTTCTATTCTTTTCAGGAGATACGCATTCATATGGATTATTAAAATTAAAAAAGAAAACAACTTTAAAATTAATATTGGCCATTTGCAACAAACGTGTATAGCTGAATTATACATTATTCTGTTGTTGATGATTCTCATAGCAACGATAGTTGTACGAGAGTAGTACGTTGATTGTAGAACCACAGATTATAATATGTATATATAATATATATAATATGCATTCTAAAATGTGTCATTAGTAACGAGTTGGTCTTGACTTTTTTCGCCGATAATTAAATCACTTAAATGTACTACATGTCCTATAGACTTTAACWACGTATTAAATATATAATGTTAAGCAACATGTCTATCACTGCACAACTGAATAATAACTTGCTCGTTTGTACAGACGGGTGATACATTTTATACATTATACTTAAACTTTATATGTCGTGCTTAATCTAATTTACTATTGTTTTTCAGTAGTGTGGGCCATAATTTGTTTTTGGTGCGGAACATTTTTAGAAAGTGCTCATTATGCGGAACTCGAAATTTACGTCTATGGACATCGATGTTCAAGTGCAGAGGTTAGGTTTTACCTATAATATATATATATATATATATATATATATAATTTGTACCTATATGAGATCAGTGAGACAATAACCTTTGAAGGGCACCATCACACACACACAAACTATGGTTTTCGAACATTCAAACTCTCGTCTGAATATAATAAACATTATATTATGAATTCTTGTCGTTTGCAGAATGTAACTTATTATATCACAAACAATGTTTTTCTAAACTGGTCGGCCAGGAAATGGTTGCAACGGGGGCACTGGATTCAATATCTCCAACGGAGGAAACGGATGTAATACCTGCAACAGGGACACTGGTTACAACACCTGTGAGGGAGGCACTAGACGCAATACCTGGAACGGATGTAACGGATGTAATACCTGCAACGGAGGTGACGAATGTAATATCTGCAACAGCAGATCACCAACAGCTGACCGAACCAATTCAGCGAGTACGACGCATTAGGATATATTATGAAGTAAATATTAACTGAAATAAAGCTTAAACAGATAAACGATAAATAACGGTGATTGTGATGATTTGTGATTTGCAATTTGTTTATAAACAAGAGTGAATTACCAGCTATTGAAGAACCAATCTTCGGGAATGCAAATATGGTATTTATACAGCAATCGATATTTATTCACATCAATTATTCGGATATGGTGGCTAGAGTCCGGGCTGCGAAATATGCAGAGCGGCCACATCCTATGGTGAATCGTATTGAACGGAGTTATATGTTATGGAGCAAAGAAACTCACTTGATCACCAAGTTTGAAATGGACGACGGTGACAGCTACTACATAATAACAATATGTTACGACAGTTTTTTCAACAGAAATCAGTACAACGGAAAAACCATATTTGTTTACAGTCCGTCGTCTTTGCATAAAGTGATGAYGAGTCTTAAAAAGGCTGTGGAATAGACCAAATTTGGTTAGAATTAAAATTATTTTATTAACGATGATTTTATCATGGTGGCAAAACTACAMTTTGACAACTTTAAGCGGTTTTATCAGTAACGATTTTATTAAAATAAATAAGCGAATGGTTGGTATTTAGACAAATAATTAGTGATTGGTATTATATGAATGTTATGATACWATAATATAATCGGACACTAAGAGTGGGACGATACCAAATAGGTGACTTCTGCCATCTAGACACAAATCTATGTGATACTAACCTCAATATAATATGCTTATTAATTATTTTATTAAATATTGTTTAAATTGTATAACGAATACACACAAAACAATGACATTAYCAGGTAAGTTTTTTGTTATTATAGAACATTTAATAGAATATTGGTGTGTGGCTCGGCGTCTGCTTCAGATCATGGATAAGTGACCTCACATACACGTGTTTGAACCAACCGTATCAATTGTAACAACCGTTCTAACCATACCAA